ACAATCCACATATTTGGTTTTTGAATTGCAAGTTTGAGTTGCTTTTATATTTTTTAAAGCAGTGATCTGAATGTATTATCAATTTTTGTGTCGAATCGTTTCTTTAAAACCACATATTTTTCTCTTTGGTTGTAATCCACAAATCGTGAATCTACGTGTGTAGGCTGTTAGTTTATGTTGGAGGGGGATTGTTGGCTGTTAGTATGTGTTGTCTGATTTTAATCAAGGTTATTTAAGGGGGCTCATACACCTTAAACCCCTTATGATCTTCGAATATGTGACTGTTGCAAAAATTGGGATATTTTATTTATTTTAAAAGCAATTACTTCCAACTTTTTACAGCTGACTACATAATACAGCTACTTTAGAACTAGTATCAGAAAGTCTGTGTTGCCACAATATTTTTTGTAATTTAATCCGTTTGGACAAATTTTCATCATGTTTCCACTGCGCGCATGATTTTAAAATGCTAATGGTACATACTTGAAATTGTATGGATTCTTTATATGGCCACTATTTCTAACTGACCAAAATTTGATGAATATTTTAGTATTAAAAAAATTTATTATTTCGAACATTACAGATTTTTTTAATAAAACATTTTATAAACTCACTCAAAACAAATAAAATTTAAACGGCATTTTTAGAATTTTAGGTTAACAGTATTTTCAAATGTTATAAAATTATATTTAAATATGGAATTAAATTATGCAACAAATGTTTTAAACTGTGCGCAAGGTGGAACATGACGAAATGTTGTCACAAAGCATTAAATTAATCAAAATATTTGAGCACACAACTTTCTGATTACTATTTCAGAAGCAGCTATTTATATAGTCAGCTGTAAACGTTGGAAGTCATTGCTTTTAATAAAAATTACTAATCTTAATACTAAAATATTCTCAAATTTTGGTTCAGTTAGAAAATGTGGCCATATAAGAATTCCATCAATTTCAAGTATTACCATTAGCCATTTTTAATATCATCGCGCAAGTGGAAACGTTAAAACTTTTGTCACAAGCGGTTAATTCAAAAATATTTGTGGCAACACAGACTTTCTGATTACTGTTTCTAAGTATCTGTATTATGTAGTCCTGTAAATTGGAGTATTGCTTTTAAAATAAATAAAATCCCAATTCTTGCAACAGTCCATATTCGAAGATCTATGGGTTTTAAGGTGTATGAGTCCCCTTAAAAAGGTGATTTTAAACACGCTGATATTTTTAAGAATTACAACACCAGGAAAAAGCATCACATACCATTAGAGTTAATCACAGACCTTAAAAGCAACTACATCAATATTGTCCTGGGAGTTAAAACACTAACAGTCTAATGGATTTAGCTCTAGTGGCTAACGTATCGTTGTATCCAGACCCGAATCTCGGAGAAGACATGGATATTTGCAAGTTTTAGTGTTTATGTGACAAAGAGTTCTTTTTTTATGAATTCTTATTATCTTTACGACCATTAGTGAGAGTCTGGTGTCCCATCCACTTTTACCTGTACCCGTAGATATCATATGTGTTGTTAATGCTAGGCAGCAAAAATGGAAAGATTTGTAATACATAAAAATGTTTGAAAAGCGTGCACTATATAGCAAGCAATCCAGCTCCTTTTCTGATAGTATATGGAAATAACTTTTAAGGATCCGTAAATGTTTAAAATTAGTTCAGCAAGTTTTGTATGAAACGACAAGAAGATAAATATCGCGAACCAGAGACAGGGACAGGGAAAAGTGGACGGAGCACCAGAACTTCGTCAGTGACTTTTACAGGTGTTGCCCCCCGCCTCTGTACCCGCTGGCTTTTAGTTGCCCATATCGGATGCTAGCCTACCAAGACATTTACATAGGAATTACATCAATACTAGACTTACGTTTGAATATACAATCAAAAGACACAGATACAATTATTCAGATTGACTATTACAAAGTTGGATTATGGCAGATTAATATAACCTAATTACTTCTAACATGCATACAAACTTTCATTTTACATTGTACTTCAACAAACCATCTTTACATTAGTCTCATTAGTTAATCGAATTAAATAAACATCTTTTAAGAAACAATTAGGGAAGGATTTTTTTTTTTTTTTTTTTTTTTTTTTTTTTTTTTTTTGTGTGTGTGTGTGTGTGTGTGTGTGGTGTGTGATCTTATTATACTTAGTTTGAATTACTAAGGCGAAATATCTTATTAATACATTTCCTTTCATTTTTTAACTTGTTACACACAACTGCATCAGCCTGATCTTACATTATTATTTTTGTATATTAATGTATCATAAACACAGAAAATATATATTCGAAGATCGCGATACTTACATTTACTTTCCCCCAGGGGAAGTTATTGCTCTTATAAAGTGATTGGAAGCGATATTTATTGAAAGTATTTTATTTACTTGCAAATTTTTAAGCTATTGAAGAAAACTTCCCAGGATTTGAACCTTGTCGTGGTCTGGGGCTCCTCCTCCTAAGGGGGGAGTCTAATCCAAACTCCACATAGTGCTTGATAATGATGAAAGTGTACACAGAGACTGCTGTTCAATCAACTTATTGAGGAGGCTCGTTCACTATTAGTGAACTAGAAACTTTCTAAAGACGCTCTAGAGTTACAATACCTCTTCGTAAAGATTTTTAAAGCACAAAAGTGCTATTTGGTTATATTGTTTCACAAGCGTTGGAAATAGAGACCTGAAAGGAAAATTAGAAGTTGTAAGAAACCACAACCTATTATTGAAAAGTCCTTTGCTGAAATCGTTCAAGAACAAAGAGTTGAAAAGAAATTGCTTCAAAAGAAGGATAAATTTAAGAAAAAAGAAGAACATGTAGCATTGTTATACCCTAAGGTGAAAGGGGTTTCATCTGAAGAAGTAAAATGAAGGTGTTGAAGCAATAGATCCGGCTCAGCTGAAGATTGGAATAAAAAATGTGAGAAATTAACAACGGAGAATTGTTATTGAATGTGTAAATAAAAAAGTTTGAAATTTTAGAAGAAGAAATAAGATCAAATATATTGGTGAAGAAATGTTGAAACAAAGGCTCCAAAAAGAAAGTCCAAAGATAATATTGTATAATATAGAAGCTGATTTAAAAAGAAAGAGATTCAAGATCGGTGATTAACAAAATCACATTTTTGAAAATGGAGGTTTTGAACTTTTATTTTCATTTAAAGCAAAAAATAATAAGTTGCATTGGGTGGCTAATTTCAGCCTGCTAAGTTCAAATTTATTATAAATCAAGGAAAAATTAACTTGAAATGGTTCAGAATATCGATTAAAGAGTATTTGAATGTCGTTAAGTGCTTCAAGTGCCAAGAATTTGACCATTTTCATAAAAATTGTATAAAAGTTAGATTTGTGCTAGATGTGCTCGAGAAGGTCACAATCATTGAGATTGTAAAGAAGATCCAGAATGTATTAATTGTAAAGAAGCCAACAAAAAATATAAACTTGGGTTGGATTCTAGACATTCTAGTCTAGATAAAAATTGTGATGCTAAAAAGACAATATGACTTATTGATTAGAAGAACTGATTATGGTTAATGGTTTATTAATTAAAATATACAAAGGATTTGTATTTTTTTGTTTGAAATGTAATAGTTATTAATGAGATTAATAGTTTTGTTTATTGAATTTTAAGAAAAGAATATTTTTTAGTCTCTGTTTTAATTATAAAATATTTTTGTTATTTAAAGAAATGATCTATTTATTTTATGGAACACAAATTGTAATAATGATTTATTTTATGTTTGAAACAAGTTGTATAAATGTTTTTGTTTAAAAAGTCGTAATCCTAATAGGATATTTGTTATGTAAAATTTTTTATGTAATATGTAAATTTAATTATTTGTATTTTTGATTTTGATTAATAAAGAATATTTGTTGGCGGGACAGTGGATCTTTCGGCCAGTGGAGAGTACGGTATGGTGATGTATTTATCCGAAATAGAATTCCATTAAACTCTGCATATACCCAAAAGGTTCGCGGCAGGATAGATTACCGGTCTTACATTTACACTAATATATCTAATAGAGTCGTATATTTTTTTTTTAATGATTTAATTATTACAAGATTTTCCCCCTCATGCCTAATACAGTTTCAAATTCTTAATGTAATTATTTTGTAAAACTATTCATACCATATTTAGCCTGTTTCAGACATTGCAATATTTCTGAAATCTTGCATTAATATTGCAATTATGGAATAAGAGGTATTTATACCGATGTGGTAGCATCTTGACATATGTCTTTCTCTTTATATGCAAAAGTTTCTTCAGAATCAAGGAAACCTTTTGTTGTAATTGAGGGATCGTTAGCATGCATTTAATTTACTCAGGCGTAATTTGTGACCTTCCCTTGCATGTAGCTCTTTTGTGAGCTGGCACTTGAAAAATATAGTGTTCTGGGTCTCCCTTTTCCCCACATACGCACTTGTCTGAATCGCTCAAATTTCGTGCAAAGTAGTACGTGGGGAAAGGACCATGTCCAGATAAGAATGTATTGATGAAGAAGTTATATGAGATTGGATCATATGTGGGTTTCTTGTATAAGTTAAAAAGTCTTCTACCTACTTCTGCATTTTCCCATTCAGCTTGCCATTTCTTTAATGTAATTTTTTTCAACATGTGTTTCGCATACGATTTAGGTATCGCATACGATATCGGGAACCATAAGTATGATAATTATATCATTAGATTTTCGCTAATTAAAGTAGAGCAGACTACACTATATCATAATCCCCCTCAATATGTCTGCGGCGAATCACAGATTGTGGCAAAATGGTACAACTGAGTGTAGCTATGTCTATTAATTACTGTACAGCTGATTACATTCTACAAGAATGTTCAATTAATGTTGTGCTGAGAAATTATAAGCTATAACAAAACCCTACAGCTAAATATATTTATGCTCAAAACTTCCATGAGCAGTTAATGACAGTTACAATTACAGGCAATGCAAAAGACAATTACAGCGTGTAATGCAGATAAGGAAACTGACTCACCGTCATGTAGAGGGTCGATGGAATGTATCATGAGCTGTAGAAGACCGTGTCTGAATTTGCTGCCGGCATGCAGGATGGGTGTGCTGGCTCGTCGCTTCTTCATCTGTGGAAAAGAAAATAAACAAGTTGCACACACAAAGCTGAATAAAAAGGCGTAAACATTTAAGCAAAAATCTATCTAGAAACAAAAACTAAAATTCAGGCAATAAAAGGTGGCCAACAGAAACCAGGCGTTCATAACCTACAGATTTCAATTCTGAAAGTCATATTACACATAATCTCATAGATTTCAATTCTGAAATTCAGATTACACATACTCTTATCTCTCAAAACTTTTAGGAAAAATCTTTGTAGCCAAGAGAAAAGATAAGGAACAACATATCTAATAATATAAGCGATTCTGTACTAAGCACACAAACAAATGCAATTAGTAAATTTTTATCAATTACAAAACGTTGTAAGTGTTCTTGAACTTTACAATCTGGACAAATTATAAATTAAATGTCTTTTAAATTATGTAAATTGGCTAAATATTTAAATTTTGGTGTGTGTACCACATGACTTCTTTGAACAGCATAATAAATTATACATTTTTTGCTATACTTCATTTAAACTTATTTCATCAAATTAATCTTACTTAATTAACCAATCACTTAAGGCAAGTTGAAAATGATATCAAAAATCAAAAATTTTGAAATCAAATATCGGGTCGGTTTTTGTCATACGGGAGTCAAATTTCATCTACATTTACTTTTTCATAACAAGTATAAAACTTTCCCAAATATAAAAATAGGAACCGAGAGATAGCATTAAAAGTTAGGTTCAGTTATCTGCCAAAAATTAATTTATTTTAAATCTGACATTGCCAAATATGGATATTTTCGTAATTTGAAACATTTCTCTAATCGGAAGTATGTGACTACTACCAACGATAGCGAAAATGAAGACCGGTTAAGGATTTTTAGGCGAGGTAAGGAGGTGGATGTATACATATATGCGTTTTGTTTTGCTGATTGCAATAAAAAGGGGGAGGTGCACAACTAGCTGTTCTAGCAGTCATATAAACAAAATTTCAGCGTCCTACGGCTTACGATTTACGGGAAATACGTACATACAATACATATGTACATATGTCACAAAAAATTCTTTCCTCAATCCATTTTAAATGCATTTTACAATCCGTTTGGGGAAGAAAGAGACCTTTATTCCTATTGAAATATGATACCCGAAATTTTTCGCAATTACAATAATTTTTTTACTTTGTACAAGGAAGTAAAGAACGAGCTGAAACTGCCCATCAAGATCTTTGATCGCCTAAGAACTACTGTGTGACAATAACCGTCGGAAGACGCTGCAGTAAACTTATAACGGATGATCAAAGTGAAAATAAGCGTGATTTCAGAACTGGTAAAAGTCATTATTTGTTAACCATCAAGTGTAAGCGATCACTGGCGGCCAGTCCATAGTTCTCTAAATGAGGGGTAGGGGAAGTGAATTTAGGCAAGTAAAATTAAAACCAAAGGGAATTACTAATTCAGAAGTCAAGCAACAAAAATCAGCGTTATATTTTCAAAATTTTCACAGGACTAGTTTTGATGGTTTTACCGAACCACCATCCTCAGCTGCAAAACCGCAAATGAACAAGATAGGAAATAATGATTAGATAAGATAAGAAAGCCTGGACAAGAATAAGCAAGTGGCGCCATCTGTTGGTGAAACCAGAACTAAAACATAATTTCTTTAAAGGCCTAAGGCAGAGATGGATTGGAATTAGGATCGTTAACTAGAACGGAAAGACGTTTTGAATGTGAAATGCCTCTAGAAAATTCAGCTCTACAATGGAAGATGTTTTTGAATAATTTTGGCAGCAGAAAAATGGAAAGTGTGATTTTCGGACCAACAATGTTGAGCAACAGAAGACTTCTGTGTTTCCTTTTTTCTAACATATGCCTCATGTTCCTTGACGTAGTTTGTCCAATGTAAATTAATCCACACTGTAAAGGAATCCTATAAAATATCCAAGGAATTCATATCCGGAATGGGGTCCTTGAGTACGGAATTCGGAATTTTACTGATGGAAGAATAAACAACCCGAAAGTTAAATTTCTGTAAAATATGTGCAACTTTATAGCTAATTGAAATTAGTTAGCTGTCATAAAAGCCACTGTACTCAAGCGAACCGTTAAAGTCATTATCCATTACAAACCTATATATTGACAGATAAATAATATGAAAAAATACAATGTACAATGCAGCATGCAGCGGAAACGCTTCGCAAGGCACGTGCCATGATAAATGCACGTTAGCGTAGCAAAACGTAACGTAGCGTAAAAATGAGAGACGACTCTATTTATATTTTACAATATGCTATGAATTATACAAAGCAGTTGGCAATTTTTTAAAACCATATGACTTAATTTAGGCAAAGAGTACGAGGACTACATTCCTAATCTCCCATCCAAGTTTTGACCAAGGGCTTCCGGGAATGGAATCCGATAGCCTCGTACCTTTGTTTTCTTATCACTACCTTGCGAAAAAGGCTTTAGTCTGGACACGCTTTAACTGCTTCAAATCTTACGTCAAGGGAGAGTTATAATTAAGGGTCTGAGGTATATTATTTTGTTAGTAAGGAATGCATAACGTGCGTTTTAAGAGGCCAGAAGGGCTATTAATTTCATTTTGGCATTTTGCGTTGATTCACTATAAACAGCGAATCACCTTTTAAATTGTTGCCATCAAATATTAGAGCCCTATTTTATATTTAAAGAAATTAAATAATGAAGAATCTGCATAAATGTATATGTAGGTTTCTCGCATTGTAATAAAACAACGGTCAAATTGCGAAAAATTTGGGTATCACATTTCAATGAAAATATCCAATTTGACCGTTCCCAGTTCCATTTGGACGATTTTCTTGCATGATGCTTGTACGCATGGACAGAATAAAGAACTCTTTTTTCCTCAAACGGATTGTAAAATAGATTAAAAAGAGAATTTTTCAGTACATATGTATGTACGTACGTAGTTTTCGCAACTCGTAAGCCGTAGGACGCTGAAAGTTTGTATATATGACTGCTAGAACAGCTAGTTATGCACCTCCCCTTTTTATTGCAATCAGCAAAACCAAACGCATATATATATATATATATATATATATATATACCTAGACCCATCGAATTTTGAATAACGTAATTGTCCACGCGAAAACTGGGTATCTGGAAGCCCTAATTTGGAATTTGTTTTATTATCTATTTCATATTTGGTAAAACTTTAATGAATTTTCGATTAACAAACTCGACGATTTAAAAGCGAGAAATAGCAACACTCTACAAGGGGGAAAAAAAACTTTTTATCTCCAGCGCACGGAACTGTATATCGGAAATTCTAAAGATATGCTCATTTTAAAATTATTTTGCAATTTTGCTGTTGAACTGAATTTTATGGTTTCATGGTAGCGAAGAACATGATATTTAATAAATAACGGTAACACACAAAACGTTAAAAAAAAAACGCCCCTTTGGACGTAATTTAAAATATGAAAACTTAATTTTTTTCAGATTTTTTTATCTTTTTTTAAATATTATTTATTCATTTTTTTTTTTATTCTTTTGTGGAATTTCGTTCCTTGCTTTTATTTCACGTTCCAGTATGGATCGTGCAAGTATTACACGTGTGTAACGAAGTCCATGTCTCTACAAATTTTTTTTAAATACTTTCTTGCAAATATCACAAGACAAAAGCCTTCACAATTATTTTTATGGCAGAAGGAAACATTTTAAACAGAACTTGTAAAAATATCTAACATTATGTTATGCTGTCATATATCATCATTTATGCTAATTTGTAGGTATTACTGTGGAAAAAAAAATATGAAATAATTAATTAACCTTGCTTTGTCTTCGCGAAAGGGCAGTTTTAAGGCTATTTCTATTCGGCAAAGCATACTATCATTCTTTTCTTGTTTTATAATTAATCAATCTGTAACTTCTTATTAAACTCAGGGGTATGTTAGGTTAGGTTATTTTAATTACGGCAAAGCCTCGAGGGTTATCTGCCTAAGGGGAGGGATGCCTTCGTGGAGGACTTTCTAAGGAAAACTGGCTCATATACACGTTACACATGGGGAAAACCACGAAAACACCCATGCAGCCAGCCCGTTCGCGGGATTCGAACCTCGGACCGAACTACCAGTGTTCAGCGACTTCGGCGCTGGCCGCTGGTGGGCCTCTCAGGGGTATGAAAAAATTCAAAAACAATTCTCAATTATTTACACTTTCATTTTATTTTTCAAAAATCTTAGTTAAATGCTATAATTTAAAAAGAATTCTTATAATAATTATTATTTTAACAATTTGTATGAATATTTTGAGCGTCTTTTGTAATTTAAATTATATCTAATATCAGATATTACGTAAATCTCGGTACAGAACAATAGGTTTGTTTTTTTAGGTACATCAGAGGAAGCCTATTAATTTTACTTTGTGGTAAAATCGTCTTCGTGGTTAATAGACGTTATTGCCAATACGCGAAACTAAATTTTTCTTTTATTTTCAATATTATAAAACGTGTTAATCAATGCAGCATAAATTACAAGTCCTCCTACCTAGATTTCTTAACAATGTTTGATAAGAAAGTTATATACATTATAAACATTTCTAAGTCATTATAATAGGTGGAACTGCAAAATTTCTACTTGCATACATTATCACCTGCATTTAGAATAAAATCTACTGCTTATGATGCAATTTTATTGTAATCTATAGGTTGTAAACTCTTCAGTATATATTTTTGCTTTTAATTTGTTCAAAATTAATAACGTTTTGATATTTTTATGTATTTCTGTTTACACCTTTAAATGAAATGCAGAGACAAGAGCAGAAGTATTTATTTTTCAAATGAATTTTAATTACATTCTACAGACAAGATTCAGTTTCATGGTTCGGCAGCAGTAAATATTACTTTAATTTAAGGACAGAAGGGGAAATGCTCGAATGGTGTTTCGCGTGTATTTTATGTATGTTTTTATTTTTAAACTCTAATGTTAAACTACTCTTTAAAGTGTATGACTGTCATTTTTAGTTCAAATTGCTGGTTTTTCAAAAG